CCGCAGGAAAAGCTGGGCATGGTGTTCTGACTGCCGGATATATATGGCCTCATATTGGATATTTATGCTTGTGCCGCTGCATAGATTTATGCATTGTCTTTAGCACTGTGATTATGGCCGAATTGTTGAAAGTTGCGCAAAAAGTTTTCATAGCTGCCATCAAATTAGTCCGCCGCTTAGGTAATAACCGTGATGGTACGTGTCGAGCTTAGCACACAAATGACAATGGCCAAATATGATTGAAACTTTTACCGTTTCAGTCGCCAGAAATTGGTTTGCCAAAAACCCAAAACCGAAAACCAAAAACCGCCGCCAAAACTTGCCCCAAAAAAAAAAAGAAGAAATTTATGCATTTTGAAAACTTTTCGACTACAATCCGGGGACCATTTTAGGTGCGAGCGATTTTGGCGCCGGGCGCAAATATATATATTGCTGCCAATTTAGCAGCAAAATAGGCAGCTCACTTAGCCAATATTTCCCCGAATATGTATCATAGGCAGCTTTAAATCCAGAAATTTGAGAACTTACCATCTCCTTTTTAAATCCAGAGCCCATTGAAAGACATAATGTCGCGCTAAGGTATATCATTTGTAGAACAGCGGAGATATGTCTTGCGAAATTATGTCGTTACCAACTTAATTCTTGGTATGGTTGTGGTGTAAGAGGCGGTGGCGAGGTTAACTGGGTTGGCGAGATCGAGTCCAGAAACAGGGAAGCACCTTTTTTAAAATGCTGCTTAAATGTTATTGGTAGAAGATGGTTGAGGGTATCCCCTAGTCGGGTACTTCCGACTAGAGCTCTCCTTCTTGTTAACTGTTAGCCAATTGTCGAGCTGAGGCATGTACGCCTAAATTTTTGACCCAGACGCTTTGAATGCAGCTGCGGCATTTGAGGTTTCCATAAAGATACCCACCAAAAGATGGGCAAGAAAGGGTATGCAGGAGTTATCTTATATGTAAATAAGAAGCAATTGCATAAATCTGCGTTTTAATAGAGCGTGTCAAACCATACGCAGTACATTAATCACAGGTTCAATTGAGCTTGAGCTGCCATGCTTACTTTTCTCTGCTATTTTCTTTTGTCTGTAAGTATATATAAACGAATATTTCAAACCGTTATACAGAATAATTCCTATTAATCGAATGCCTAAGTCAGATACAAGCACAGATAGGCTTCTCATCCAGTACAAATATGTATTCTAGTATAGTTCTTCAGCTTGCAGGGCAACTCACAGTCAATCAGTCATCTACAGCCTTTCAACTTGAATTTTTTTCTTCACACTTTACTTTGGCCGACGCCTCCTGCGTCGCGCCTTGGGGCAACTGTCAACGTGCAGTGCCGCAATATTTGTGGCAGAGTTTCGCATTGCACTTTGCCGTGTTCCAGCTAGGCGGGTAAGCCACAAAAAGGATTTTTGATTTCATATTTTTTTGCGGAGCTTAAGCTGCATGCTGCATGCAGCTTCTGACTGTCCCAATAAAAATCATGTTCTGGCATAGCTCAGCTGCCGCATGCCACATCTGTCGAAGCTCAAATGAAATCTCTTGCTAACTTTGATTGTTTTCTTCTTTTTGTTTTTTGTTCGATTTGCAGATTTTTGCTTTATAGTTCCTCATGCATTTTCCTTAGCTGTGGAGGCAAATGCTAACAAGCATTGTTTGTTTTTTTGGTATTTTTCCTTTCTTTTGCCTTGGGCAACTTTTGTAAATGCTTTGAAAAGCAATTAGTGCTGACAAATGCGTGTCCTGGCATTAAGGAGCTGTAACCGTAGCTGTAACTGTAGCTGTAATTGTGTGTGTGTGTGTATACAATGTATGTCATGCCTTTTGGCATGTCAAAAGCGATTTGTCATGCAGCAATATGTAAGGGTTAATAGTACGCTGACAGCTTGATTGATTTGCCCAGCTGAGTGTTCTAGGAAAGGCTTATACGGTTCTTAGCCAGTCAGCGATGAATTGTGTCAACTAATTCTTAAGCCCATATTAATCAATCGTATGATTGACAAGCTGGAGGATTTTTTGTCATCAAATTGAAAGGAACATTTATAAGTGGATCCTAAACACATAGCTGTATATTACAACAATTGATTAAACTCGCACTAAGTTAGGCTCTAATTAAGCTCCTTCACTCTATTTTAGTCGTTAGCATCAAGAGCTCTGCGAATATTCTTATGCATATATAATTATATGATATAAGATCAAAATATGCTGATCAAAATAAAAATAAAAACAATAATTTGCAATAAAAAATAAAACTAATTAAATTGACCACATTAATAAAAATTCCAATTTGTGTTTTTTATCCCACACCTTCACAAAGATGTGTATATGATTGTCATGTTTATATGAATTATCAGAGGGAATCCGGAGCAGACATTATTCTAAGCTTAATATTTGAAGTTGTGAAGTCGACTTAATTACCGGCCTTCATTTCAGTTATAATAATTTTTGCCAACAAGGCATTACTTTATCCTAGATTGCAGCATCACAATCAATTAAATAAAATTGTGATCAAGTGAATTGGCAGTATACTAGCCTAACCGACCGGAAAGCCAATATATTTAATTAAATTTGAAAATTTGTGCATCCAACATGGATTGAAGCTATACAACAAGCGGGCTGGATGGGCAGGGCGTGGCCTGGCGTGGGAGCTGCTGTTGCAGCACTGACGCATACTTGAGTCTGCTGACTGATTAAATTTACACATCGAGCCACAACTGTTGCATCGAAAACTAATAATAAAAAAAAAGAGAAAGATCCCTGGAATAGTGGCAGCCAGCTCGAGTAGATTTTATATACTTGACAGCACTGAACAAAGCTGAACAAGGTGCAGCAGCTGACTGCTGCTAGCAGTTGCTGGCAAAGGCTCTTTGGCTCCAAGTTGCCAGTCAATTGATGGCAGCAGATGGGAAACAAGTTGGCAGCGTCTTCATCAATTGCTTGTAAGTGGCTGTTGTAAAAATTTTTAACATTTTGTGCTCACAAAACCAGGCTGCAACACGCTGCGTATGCGCAATTTTTGTCTGTACGTACTCATACGTAAGTAGATTAAGTGCAGCCTGTGTATGGGTTACTTCCAGATGTGGAAGGGCCATGTTTGGGTTTTAAATTCAGTTTCCAAGCAATTTTCAAGCAGGCCATGTTAATCAATGGCGGCTACTGCTGCCAATTCGGGGTTTGGACCTCGTCAAGTGTCAAGTGCACCAATATTGATGTGCAATCTCAAGCGAACTCGAGCCACATGCTCCATTTGCATGCGCTGGCGTCCGAAATGTCCCAGGCAGCCGCACTTGAGTAGCTGCCGCTACTGCTTGTGTAGTTGCTGCTGCTGTTCCTATGCTCCACACCAATTTCGAATGCATTTGCAAATGCAGCAACAAAACACTGAACGCCATTCAATGCCTTCTTCTATATTCATGCATAAATTCAAATGCTTGTCGGCCACTCAAGTGCAATAGAAAGAAGCTTGAGCGCAGCAGGACAAGCCAGAAATGAAAAGAAACACAGAGAGAAAGAGATAGAGAGAGAGAGAGAGAGAGAGAGAGAGAGAGAGAGGGAGAAAGGTAGGAAATCTTGTCTGTTTGGATTCATGGCTGGCCAAAACAAATGGCTGCAACCTAGCATAATGCGCAACTTTATGCTTGCTGCGTGCTGCGTTATAAAAGCATTTTTCCATATCCAATAAACTATGCGAATCAATGAATCTTTTGAGTGCAAGTGCGAGTGCTTGTCGTGTAAATCAAAGCCAAATATGGAAGCAGCCCGTTCACAGCGCAATCAGCAACAATAGCAAATCCAAATGTCAAATCCGCAATCCAGCCACGACGGAAGTATGTCGCAAAACGGAAACGGAAGCAATTTTCATTTGCGTTGAGCTTAAATGGTGGCCGTTGTGGTCTCACACTCGGGGACAAACCAGCGGGCTCTGTTAACAGCAGCAGCAGCATCTCCACATGCTGCACGACATGTTACAAGCATAATTCTAGTTGCCACAAACTCACACACACACATACACTCACATCCACACAATGGCGCATAATGGGCGGCAAGTGCGGCCAAGTGGTGACGCCCCAAGTAACCGCAAAACGTTGCAAGTGCCGCATTTTTATTTAATAAATTGCAACGCTGATTCGCATTGTCCCCTTCGTTTAACTGCCGCTGTTGGCTTTGCTTTTTGGTTTTCATATTATTTTTATTTGATTTTTCTAAACGATTCGCATTGGGGTTTTGTTTGTGGTAAGCGCGACACGTAGCTGTTCAAATTGTTTTACAATAAATTAAAGGTATCTCCTTTTTATTTTGCTTCCATTTAGTATTTTCTATAAACTGTCACACTTTATAACTGATTTATTGCTTAAACTGTTTTATTGTTGAACAGAAATATAATTCCAGTAGCTGTTAAAAAAGTTTAATATAATGCAGAGAATTGCCTTTTTTTTGGTTTATGTTTAGTTAAACTAAAAAAAATATCGTTTGGGTTGACTGGTTGGGTTTGAGTTGTGAGCATTTAAATGATTGTTTTTTTTCTTCTTTTTTTTTTGTATATTAATATTGTTTAATTTTTATATTTCTTAGATTTAATTGATTTTAATTTATATGTGTTTAAAATCTATGCAACTAGCTACGTGCTAATTTTATATACCTTAGGCCTAAGATTATAATTTAACTTTAGTTTTTGTTTTATTTTCCTTTTAATTGTAACCTACACAAAACAGCGGCTGCTCAATTTTAAATCGCTAACGCCAAATATACAATTTTTATTTTCAGTTGGAGGAAGGATTTCCATTTAGCTTCTTTTCATTGTTTTATTTATATATACAAAATTTAATTTTATCACATGTGAAATGTGTATTTAATTTGTTATTGTTTTGTTTTTATTATTAGTGTGCACAATGCTGTCCACAATTTTATATACACACAGATGCAGAGTTATATGTTATAAAAAAAAACTGTTCAAAATCAAACTACAAATATTTTAATGAAACGCTGGTAATACGCTGCGTATGCGCAATATTTTCATTAACCGGAAAATGGCAGTACATATGTATGAAAATGCTAGCGATAAAATACGCTTGAAAATTTCGATCAGCCCAAATGAATTTTACATTGCCTAAATTCCCATTGTCTTAATTTATTTATGCTTATTTTGAATAAACTGTTGCAAGGCTCTGTCAAACTCAGCAAGCATTTGTTTTTGCCAGGAAAGTGAGCGGAAGAGCGCAACACATGCGCGCCAATGATTAATGTACTTAATTACAAACTCAAATCCTAATTACTTTACTTCAATTTGACCCCAAAAACAATGCCCAGCGCACTGTCATTAATTATACGACCCGTTTGCCAACCATGCCACACTATGGCCATGGCTGTGGCTATGCAACCGGGCAAACTCTCCTGCGGCTTACGTCGGTGTCGTGCTCATCGTTTGCTTGGCAAACTTACCCGCTGATGCTGCGGTTGAGGCCGAGGCTGCTGCTGCTGCCAAGCCCCTGGGTCAGTTAACGCTGACCAGCGGCTCGAGCGTGCTGCTCAAATGCACCAGCTGCTGCTGCACCTCGCGCAGGCTGGCCAGGCTGCCCATCTGCTGCTGTTGCTGCTGCGGCGGCGGTGGTGGCAGCACGACAACCACAGATTCAGCGGGTCCAGACATTGGCATCGGCATCGGCGATGGCGCGCCAGGAGGAATGACCGTTGCGGCAGCCGATGCCGCAGCCCGCGCCGTCGCTGTTCCAGTCGCACAGCTGCTGTTTGGTGAGTGCGATACGCTGTACATCAGACTGCCCATGCTCGGATGCTGATGGATTTGGGCGACGACTGGCGGCGGCGGCGCTGGCGGCAATACAAGCTCATCAATGGTGCAAACGCGATCGTCAATGGGAAAGGTAAAGTTAATTTCCTTGCCGCCAGCATCCGCAGTGTGTACGGTGGCACCCACATGAGACGGCGTGCTTCCATTCGCTGGACTCTGAATGTGACCATTTGTTGTGCCATTTGTTGTTGGTGTTGCTGCTGTTGCCGCCGGCGACGTGGCTAGCGTTAGTGTTGTTGTTGTTGTCGGTGAGGTGCCATTGCCCAGCGTTGTTATTGTGGTTGCTTCCAAATTTTTTTCCAAACACTTGCTGTCGCCTGAGGAAGAAAACAACAGAGCCAGAGATGAGCCAGGCACATAGAAAATGGGACAGTGTGAGCTGAAAGCTAACGCATGGTATTCAGATGGGCGGGATTTACAACTGTTAGTCCAAATAGGAGCTTAATTATTAAAGTTCTTTTTATAATCTATTATTGTACTTATAAACTGTCATCCTAACTCTTAAATAGCACGCACTACAGAAAGCCTTGAGTTAGAATGCAGTCGCTTGAACTGTATAGGAGATAATAATAATAGATAAATAATATTATAATAAATAAGGTTTTTTATAGAACTATCAACTTAACTCCCAAATAAAGTTTTTTGTTTTTATAATGTTCTATTGTCAACTTTAATTCTTATATAAAGATTTTATGTTTACCAAACATTAATATTTTTAATTTTTCTCCGCCTTGCTGTATTCTCATTTTTGTTTTTCTTTTTGTTTTTTTTTTGCTTAGCTCAAAGCTTATGCATAAATTTGTATTTTCTAAATTTTTTGAACTGATACAAACAACTTCATGAATGCTTTATTTCACGCCCAGTTTATGCACAAATAAAATTTGTGATCCTGGGAATTTGATTGCCGGAGCACAAACAATTCGAGAAGAATAAATTCATTATGTGCGAGCTGATAAAATAAAATATTTCATATTTACTTCTCTATAAGATTCAACAGGCTTTAATAATTGAATATGCATATGCACAAGCTGTCTGCTGTCTGCACACAAGTTTATAATTTTTGAAAATTGTAGTTTAATTTAGCCCGATTCTAGCTATTTCTATGCCTATTCTTTATGCTATCCGGCATCACTGCTGCTCTTGCAGAGCCACATGCAACTGTCAATAGTCACAGTCAGTGACGTGTTTTGAATGCCTCCGGTGTATTTGCAGTGTGCTCAACTCCGGCGGCATTCCTACGCTTGAATTTGTGAGCATGGCAGAGTTTTTTCCGTGCTTAAACAAAAATCGTTTTTTACGCTTTGTACGCTGTTCGCTTATCGAGGGAATCGAATGCGGTGTTGCAAAAGTTTTCGTTGCGACAGCTTTGGCGACCATTTTTTATTGTTGACTAAAAACAAAAAAACAAAAAAAAAAAAACAGAAGAAAAACTGCAACAATTGCGCAAAATTCCAAAGTTTGCTTTGTTTTCCATTGGCGCTGCGTTTCCCTCGAGTGCGTTCTGCTGAATGGCCACGACCACGCTGGCCCCAGGGCCAATTTGTGCTAAGGTAACCAAGTTAGGCAGGTGTGTGCGCAAACATTAGTGCCGGCCTCCAAGGTACGTAGGTCAGCTTGAAATTTATTTATTCCTCAATTAGGCAAGGGGCATGGTGGGAGGAGGGGCAAAAGGCTACTCGCCATAATGAAGCACGTACTTGTAATTAATTAAGTGCGGCTGCTTCTTTCTTTTTAATTTCGACAAAAATTTTACGTGCTAGCTAGAAGAAACATTTCTAAAAAAATACCTTTAAAGAGCACATAAATAGCCTGCTGTCTTAACAGGTAAAACAAACAGACAGTTTTTCATTTCAACGCCTTGTCATTTGGTCTGCCTTTGCTCAAACTTGGCGCATTGCCCAAAACGAATTACGTATTACATCAGTTTAAGACCAGCAGCTCAGCCGTTCGTCTCAGGCTTCAAATTGGGACTGCTCTTTTGTGTGTAACTTGGGGTTAGCTGTATCTATATACTTACTGCCATTCAAATGATCCTCTCTGGTATAGTAGCGTGCGCGATTCTTGGAGAAACAGGCCACAAGCGATAAAATTATGACGGCAATTAGCACAAATATGATGCCACCCAAAATAGCCAGGGTATTAAGTCCGCCTGGTATGAATTAAAATAGAGAGGTAGAAAGTTTTTAATAATATTAAAATTAATTTTTTTAGCTCAGACTTAATATATATAATATTTTTTTAATTTCTTAAGAGTTTAGTTTCACAACAGAATATTATTAATAAAATTATTTATATTACTAGCTAAGCATGAAAAGTCAAAAAAATTAAATTACTAAATAAAAAAATATAAGTAAGTAGTAACAAAACGAAAACTTGTTGGTTCAACAAATATTTTGTTATATTTTTAAGTTATGTGCATAAATGTGTTCAAAGAGCTGTAAATATTCAAATTCGAATCAAGGAAAAATCAAATAAAAGCCACTGATTGACTTGCCAAATTGGCCACTGAGTTGTAATTTAAAACAGTTGCATGTGCTTACCATGTTCAAGAAAGTTATATGAAGTGCTTGCCGCATTCTGTTCCTCGTCGCTGATGTAATCGAGACACGTGTGCAGCCCGCCAATGTCCAAATTAATTATTTCGGCGCCACGCAAACTTTTTGGCAGAAAGCAAATGGGATATGTATCCCATTTCCATTGCAGCTGCATAAATACAGATTGAATATTGAATATATATATTTATTTTGTATAAGACATCATCAATCAGATGGGCTTTGAAAACTAATTGAAATTTACAGTGAATGGACTACGCGTCGTATGCGTATTATCCGATTTTAAATCAAATTGCATTTGACTTACTTGCCGCACGACATTTATTAATTTTCCCATGTGACATTCATCGCATATCAACGGATTGTTATCCAGTCGCACATTGCGTATACCCTGAATCCGCAGCGCCGTGTCCGCATTGATGCCGTATAATTGATTTCGTGATAAATCCAAAAACTGTGAATGCAGAGCGCAAAATATAATGTATTTTCGAATGCTGAACAACTTTTTTGTCATTCGCCCTATGGTTTTTGCTTATTAAATTGCAATTAGCTACAAATGCTGCCCAAACATTGGTAGCTTTGTTTAATTGTTGGCCCCCAAACAATAAAACAAAACAACAAGGACAATGCCAAAGGCTTGACTGAAGTGTGCAAGTGCTACACAATTAAATTCAATTAAAATGAAAAGCTTAATGGCTATCAACTGATTGTCGCTGTTGTGCCATAAATTTGCCATAGTCAACATGGCAACAGCAACAACAAAAGAAATGTAGAGAGGCTTGAGTAGAGCGTAAGCTCAACTAGAAGATACTTGCTGTAGGGATCAAAATAATACATTTAATAAATTCATGTACTTATTTGAGTCTAATAAATTGAATACTTCGTTTTCAAAATAACGAATATAATTGGAAGCTATTTATCCTTTATATTTTTATTGAAGGACACTTTCTATATATTTGTTTGACAGACATTGGGAATTATTAATTCAATTTATCAAGATTATATACAAATTTCTAAGTCTCATGTTGAAACACCATTTAGCACATTTTCTGTGTAAAGGGTATAGCCATGATATCACAACTATGAAAACAATACAGAGATGAGGTAGACAGAGAGGGAGAGAGATGTAGATAGAAAGTGACACGAAGGAAGCACGTACCAGGACACAAACGGACAGCACAGAGGAGACTGCGACCAAGTTGGTGTAGGCACAGTTGCGAAATGAAATGAAACTAAGGGGGCTTTCGGGACTTGTTGTCGGAGTTGTGCGATTTGCAGTTGCAGAAACAGAAACAGAAACGGCAACGGAAAATGGTGAATGCTAACGAAAACTGCAAACAGGCAGCGATATCATTTTGTCATTCAGACACTGTTGCTCGTTGAAATATTTTGCAATTGGCCAAAAAGTTATCAACAGACAAATAAATACACAATTGCCAGCACACACAAGGACAACAAAAGCTTTCAAGAAAAATAACAATGGCTTGCACAAGGGGGTGTGGCAGGCAATAACTTCAGCTTGGTGCATTCAATCACTGGGAAACTTACCTCAAGCTCACGGCACGAATCGATAACTTGCAATGCCATGTTATCCAATGAATTACCCGAGATATTCAAATAACGCAATTGTCGGAAAGGCGATAACAAACCCACAGGCAGCTGACCCATATCCGCAATGGCCAAATGCGTTAGCTCCGGTATCAGCTACAAGATATAATTCAATTTCAACATTAATTGATCGATCGCCACTCACTCAATCACGCTGTCTTCAGGCTAAGAGAGAGCTTGCGACTTATAGAATATAATCAGCTTTAGTTAGATTAAGTTAAAAGGTTCAGTTTGTGGCAAGCAAAGGAATTTTTCTTCTTTTCATGCTGTTGTTAAATTATTTTTATTTTCAAAGACGAAATGTTCGCAAGCGAACAGTTGGCTAAGTCGGACCAGAAATAATTTAATTAACTGTTAAATGTCAAAATAAATGCTTCAAATATTTGGCTTTGTTTGCTATTGCGTTACAAGAGAACAACGCGGTTGTTTTGTCCGAATGTTGAAATTTTAAAAGAGTAGTCAGTTTTGAATTTAAATTTGCAATTTTTGTATTTATTTGAAGCATGATAATGTCAAAGCGATTGCTAACTTTGACAGGCAGAGAAAATATTATAGCTTGAGACTATGATATCCAATTAAAATCACTTTAGAACTCACCTCGAATGTCTCATGCATATCCCTTAAGTCCATGAGAACATTTCCGCTTATGTTAAGCACCCTCAAGTTGCTTAAACTGCGCACAGACTGCGGTTCCAGACGCACCAGCTTATTGTAGGAGAGATCCAGAAATGTTAGATTGGTCAGCTGCAGGAACGAATCGTTTGGCACTTTGGCCAAGCGATTGTACGATAAATCTAAAAGGCAAAATAAGAAAGAAGGAAAGGAAATGGGCAAATGAGTGAGTTTGCTAGAAGCTAAATGACTATAATTTCAATGGCGCACCCAAGTGATTAAGACTTTTCTGCATGCGAAAGAGTTGGTCCACGACCACAGACAATTGATTGCCGTCGAGTAAAACTTTTGTGAGACGCTTCACGTCGCGAAATTCATCCTTGTCAAGGAATTTGAACTGCAAAGAGAAAAAAAAAAAAAACACACACAGAAAATAATTGGAAAATGGTTGAACAGTTTCGAAACGGGTTAACGACAAACCTCGTTGCGTCCCAAATCCAATTCGCTTAAAAGCGGCAATAAATTGTACAATTGCGGATTGATTTTTTTCAGTTGACAATTGCGGCATTTGAGTACTTTCAGCTCCTGGAAACCGAGCAGATTGAGAGAACGAGAGAAGTGAGTAGAGGAAAGTGCGTACAGTTACGAGTTGCTGTTCGCAGTTGTTGTGTTTACTTACGGGCACATCGCGAAAGACATCCGGCTGTAAATCCTGAAGCGGATTTCCGCTCAAGTCCAGGTACTTGAGTCTAGTCAGCATGAAGAAGTTGCGCTGCACGAGCTCCACAATCGAGTTGTCAGCCAAATTAAGACGTCGCAGATCCTGCCCCAAAGAGTTATGCAATTGCGAAAGTTTATTACGGCACGCACCAAATTAATAATATTTCACGAGACCCCAAAGCAAAATTCATGGCTAATAATTCATAAATCAGACCGGGCAGAAGCACTGCCAGAGCTCTGCTGCGGACCGGAAACTGCCGAAAAAGATAAGTTTCCAACGCTGCTGCAGAGGAACACAGAGATACTGTTTCGGGCTGAGAGGAAGTCAACAGCAACGGGGAAAACAAAATCGAAAGCAAATTGAAGAAAACGCACCAAGTTTTGTGCACTGGCACTTCCGCCAGGCAAAAGTAGCAGCAAATGCAGCAAACTTAAATTCAAGCACGTAGAACTTTCGTTTGCCCCAAAATGTAGGCAACAATATTTGGTGCAGGCTATTAAAAATTCCATGATATTTATTACAAAGTGGCTCAAAGCAAAGACAAAACTATGCAGTCGTGAACTGCGCTAATATTTGATTTAGTATTCCTACTTTGAGGACGCGACCAAACCGAGTAGATCTAAATGATATTATATTGGAACTGAAAGCATCTTAAGTGGGAAATAACAAGAACTCCCAAGAATGCTTCACTTTGCAGTTTTTTAACTATTTTACTGTTGGTTCGTACTTAAAATGTGTTTCGGAATCGTTTGATTAATGGAATTTAATATTGAAATGCGTGCTGATGCGCACATCTTCTATTATTGCATTCTATAGATGGTCGATTTTCGGGCAGTGCGAGCCTCTTAAAAAATAAATTACTAACATTGCTGAAAAGTTTAATTAAATCGCGAGTTTAGTCTAGGAAAGCTATGACAGCTGGCAAAGTTATGTCTGCGGTAAATATATAAGCCATGATATATAACCATACAACAGTTAAAGCCCCGAGGAACAAAGAACAAATACAGAGGTTATTTATATATTTTGAGACTTCAGCGCTCGCTCCCTGTACCAATGAACTTTCACTTTAATTATTCATGAAAAAAAGGTATTGTGGTATATATGCTTTTTCACTGCGCTGATAATAATAAATATAAAACAATACCATATATGCAACTACTCACCATCAGATGGCGAAATGTTGAGCTGGCCATTCGTAAAATTTTATTTTTTGATAAATCCAATTCATGCAGATTATCCTGACCGCGAAAGTTATTCTCCGTAATGTTTGTTATGTTATTCTTCGATAGATCTGCTCGCGTCCACAGCCGTTGGCGTATTTATTCGTATATTTGTATATTATTGATTGTATTTCATCAGCAGTTGTTGAACGCATAAAAGTATGCAACAGTTTTTTGTGGGCGAGAATAAATGGAAAATGGCATTATTATACGATATATGTATGCAGCGTACACAATTGTTGGTCGAACTGCAACTTTTAATAACCACAAAGGACTTAAGTTGCTTATCATTGTGTAAATATTTACGTTGTAGCAATCGAAAGATTAAAAACAGTACAGTTCAATGCACAAAAAAGTGAATAAAACTATAATACAAAAACAAAAGAACACAGAACAACCAAAAACAAAAATGAAACAGAAATATCGAAAATAAAAGAAACTTTTAAGCAAACTGCAGGAAAAGCAGCGCAGACAAAAGTATTTCAACTTGTATACATTGCCCCATTTGAAAGAAAAAGTTGCCACAGATAAAGCACAGAGCACAAAACACATTACACATACGCCCCTTTGTCTAGGCAACATGAGTAGCATTTTTAGCTAAATGCTAGGAGAGAGAATTTTGCTCTAGTTGCTGCCATTGTGTCGGCAGCAGGAGTTGAGGCAGTAGCAGGAAGCTATTGCAGAGTTGGCTGCAGCTTGCCACGCCTACTTAAACATTTTAAACATTTGCCAAAATTAATTTAAATAGAAACGGCGGGCGGACGAAAAAAAAAGAGAATGCCATTTGTTGCCCGACTAGAGGCAACATTTTTAACTGCAGCAACAACTTTTTTCTCTGCATGTTCAAGTCAATCTCCGTGTGTGTGTGTGTGTTTTATGTCGACTTTTGGCTCTTGGCAGCCAGCTGGGGTAAAAAAACAAAGATTCGGGCATGTAAATAATTGGAGGGCCCTGGCATCGTGTTTGCCATACCCATTGCCCCGTTCCGCAAACAGACAGCGGCGCACATAAAACACAAATAAACAAGTTGGAAAGCGCTGAGCGATATCGACGCATTGCCTGGTTGACTTTTACTTTTGATTTTTGGCCCAATCTTATTTTATTTCTGGGTTGCCTTTCGCTGTTTGGCGCATCAATTTCAATTTTATTGACAAACAAGAAGTCAGAAGTTCTCTACAGCGAAGACTTAAATACTCTTTGACGCAAAATCGATATATTTCGCAGTTAATGAAAGCCAAAACAGTATTGGTAAAGTCCGTTAAGATTATGTGTCTCTTAAAAATATTTATATTTTTTTTTTATAGATGTAAAACAAAAAGAAACGTTGGTAAAGCATGTCTATATTGTATTTCAAGAGTGCAAAATCTTCATGATCAGGCTTAAGTGTCTTGGCCGCAATAAGTACATGGCGTTAGACAACACTTAATCGGAGCAAATCTGTGTTATTTTAAGCCCTTATGTGGTTTCTGTGATGTTTAATAATTGAAAATGAAAGTGGCAGCCACGTTTTGCAAGTGTTAGTTGCCAACATTACACAACACTTTTATACAAAATGCGAGACTGAAGTGTGACATAATATAAGAAGAGATTTTTACAACACTGTCAAGCTTTTGCTTAGTCACTACACGTGGCGACTCAAGTTGTCGCGCTGAAACGAGCTATAATTTTACACAAGCGCATTTGGACTTGATTTAAAGTGACATCTATCCGTCGCAAGACATCCGAGGAAATAAGAATACCCTATCGATGGGATAACTTGGTGCTGTCGACCGCATCGACGGTGCTCATTTAACATTTTGCGACGCGCACTTTTATTTGCGTTGGCTTTTACGAGGCTTCAGGACAACCGCAACGGTTGCCCGCGTCCTGCGTTCTACGTTCTGGTCGCACGTTTGATTGTATTATTTGCATATCGCTGCGCACTGTTTTAACTATGCACAGCTGCTTAAATTGAAATCGCTGCTCGGGCTTTTACGCGCACGTAAAACAAATGGCGATTTTTAGTGGCATGCTATAAAGAATTGATTACTCACCTAATATGCGCAGATATTTAAGGCCCCAAAAGGACTCGGCCCCGATCGCCGGCAGATTCGAATCGGTGATGCGTAGCACTTGCAACTGCATAAACTGACGCAATGCCGGTCCAATCGTTATGGTGTTTCGTGGTCCACGTATAATAATTACCTTGACATCAATGTCCAGCTGATTGGCGGATAAAGAGCTTAGCCCGCCTGCAAGCAAATGTTAATTTAAATGAAGGTCAACTAGGCGTAACTCAAACTAAATTTGGACGCTGCTCTATTCACGGTGATAAACATGAAATTTATGCAGCATGGCAACAATAACTAAGGTTAACAATGCCAACAAGATCATTAACTGCAGAACGCAACCTTCCCTTTTACATGCAAACAATGTGCGCATTTTAGTGTGCCACAACCAAAATGTCGGGCAGTTTCCATACGAATGTACAAAAAAAACCTCACGCCATTTCCAGTTTCCAGTTACCAGTTTTTCGTTATCCTTAACAACTGGGGTCTCACGCCCCAAACCCGCTCTTCATTTGTATGGCATACTATTGTGTAATCGCAGTCGTTGTCGACTTTTATTATATTCTCGCACTGCATTATATTTGTATGTATCTACGTGTGTGTGTGTGTGTGTGTGTGTGTGTGTGTCTGTGGTTGTTGTTGCATTATTATGTGCTCATTGTATGTTGCGGCCAGCATTTGTTATATGAGCCGAGCTCGCTGCGGGAATTTTCATAAAAATTGCAAAGCATTAACACTGATTGTAACATATTTTAACGCGTTTGCAATTTTGTTGGCATTTACGAGCACTGTTGCTCGTAAGGGTCAGGGGTGACGACCTGAAAGGCCAACACCAAAATGATGCTGCTCATTAAAAGCATGAGTTAAATTGTCCTTTAATATTTGTACTAACATATTCTAATTGATTTTAAGAAATGTTAACAAGAAATAAGATTTGCTACGGTTTTATGGAAGACTACAAAATCGTTTTCCGTTTTCCTATTCTATTATTATTCTCAACTCCATTTGTTTTTACTTGGCTACTATTATTTTTATTTTCTATTTAACTAATGTTAAATAGTAGCAATAAGTTCAGCATAGTAAATAATGAACGTAATACAGTTTAAATAAATACCCTAAATGAATATCTCCTATTGAGGCTGAATAATCTTTAAAATTGAAACTCATTTCGTTGTCTTACTGTCAATGGCAGCAGCAGCTCGAATGCTTAGCCGTGCCGTAGTTATTGTGCCAAAGATTTGGAAAATGAAATTAAAACGACAATGGCATCACATTCAAAGCATCACATTCAAGGACTCAAGGACTTACAATGTGTGCGCTAACCAAACAAGCGTTAAATTGAAATTATAGATTTCTCTGGCTGCACGAAGATGGCAGAGCATTCGCTACACGACGGCAAATGACAGTTGAACAAATTGAAATTGCCCGAAAATTTAAAGGGGGGAAAGCCAGACCGGCCAAGCTTTAAAAATGAGTACTCGTTAATACTCGTATGCGCAACGAAAACCACTCGAAGTTCTAATTCCGTGAGTGTGCTCGGCATTTACAAATCGGAGTATTAGTAACTGACCAACTGGCAGCTGGCAAATCCTTGAATTTAACGTGTAGCTCTGCAATTATGATGTTACCCTAATGATGTTGCAGAACCACCCACAATGACCGCAACTATGGATTACATGGTGCATGTTCGCATATTGCATAATTTGCGTACATTTTGCTTCGCTCCTTTTTTATTTTTGTTTTTTATTCATCCCAGCATCTTTTGCGCATATTGGTCCACTTACCTTTTGTGCAGATGGCCTGATAACGATCCATATCATCAATGCTACAGCTGCATTCTACGGGGCACTTCCTGCTCGTATTGCTGAACATGGCCGGCATTATGCACAGGCTGAACAGCAGCCACTTCACCAGCATCTGCAGTAGATATACAAAAAAAACTTGTTTACAGATTTTCATTTCTTTTCCATTCAGTTTTGTTGCTGTGTGAGTGGCAATTAGTGGGGGTTTTAATTACGGCTAAACACTTGTCCACAGTCGAAACTAATTCAACTTTTAGAACACACCCATTGTTTGCTCTTGCCGTACACTTACTGTGGGTACTCGCAACTTTCTAATGAAATTTGTCTATGTTGGGCATCAAAAAATAATCATATGTATCCATGTTGAAAATAGATTAATTTAGCTGTCGTTGACACACTCAGTTTAGATTTTTTAGAATCATATTTTTTTTATAATATAATAAAGATTTAAGATATCTAAAACAATATAAAAAATCAGTAAAAGATGAGTTATGATTGAATGAAAATAAAAATTATAAATAATTTGAATTATAGACATTCTGAGTAATCAATAACTAAATATATTTGGTTATAAATATTGAACATAGTTAATCCCTCGAAGCTTTTAGCTTTAGCAGGCGCAGCATTAGTTTTTTATAAAACAAATAATATAAAATGTTAAAGCTTTTAAGTTAAATTATTTGTCTGGAACTGTATAAAGTTGTGCCCCAACCCAAAAGGATTACTGTTATTTCTTGTTTTATATATCTGCTGCTGTTGCTAATCTATTTATAAAACCACACGCTCATACACTCGAACGCACACATACATACTCACATACAGTTGCACACGTACACACACACGCATACTCACAAACTTTCAATTTGGAATCAACGTGGTGTCATATGTTGACATAGTTGCACACACTTTTTGTTGCAGTTGTTACTTGACCAGTTGTTGTTGCTGTTTGTTGTTTTACTTTACACAAATGTATACACATGTTAGTGTTTGGTTAGTTGTGCGTGTGTGTGTGTGTGCGTGTGTTGCGTATACGCCATGTTTGACCTCAGTGATTTGTGGTCGCCAACTCTGGACACTAGTATGCTCGGCGATAAACTGCGGTGGTCTCGTGGCGCTTGCCGCAGCACTGCGCGCTCTGCATAAATTAGCCGCAGCACACAATGCGGTTAAAGAAACGAACTCAAAAATAAGCCCGAAATTATAATGCGCAACCCGCTTCCCCCTCTCTCACTCACTCCCTCTCTCATGGTGTTTGGGGACACACTCAATTTGCCTGAAATCCAAATATGCGTAAGCGTTTCGGCTGTAACTGCAACATGAAACTTGCATATGTAATTTTCAAAGGAATTTTCCTTTTTGATTTTTCTCTATTTTCCTTGTTGGTGTGTGTGTGTGTGTGTGCCCCTTGGCTTTGTGCAGGCATTGCCGGAAAATGTGAAAGCCGCAGGATTTATGTGCAGCATATTTTTCATTTTACTGAGCCAGCAAGCGGCTGGCAGGCAGCAAACTGTCAAGTTTCCGGCTCATCGTCGGCACCTTATGCATTGTGCGCGTTGGATTTGTTGTCAGGATATTGCTGCTGGGCGCTGGGTTGAGTAATATTTCTGCAAAGTTGTTGCGGTAAAAGTGAAAAATTGCGACAGCAGCCGACGACGACGCCAGCGCCAATGCCGACGCCGAAGCTGCCTTGCGGCAACAATGGCTACGGGACAGCTTTCTTGAGTTACGTCTGTTGCGCCCAAAAAACTTCTTTCCATATTCTCAATTTCCAAGTGCTTTCTTCGGCACACTCAATTTAACTTGTGGCATGATTCACAATAAACTCCAAAAGTGCATTTAAAAGTAAAGCAAGTTTGGTAAAATATGCTCTTGGAATTTGTTATTCACACTGAAATTGGATTTTTAGTCTGTGCAAGTGCTCGATTTCTGCATATGTATATTATATGATTACATTAGCAAAAAAAAACAGTATTTTATTTAAGTAATTAAATAATTAACAGGAAGAGAGGAATATTATTCTCAATGCTCAACACAAAGTAACAAAAAACATTACTTGAAAAAATGAGAATCACCTAGAAAGGCGAGGTTTAAGCTACATTGATACATTTTGATATTGCCATAAATAAAGAAGCAAGCGTTAAATCAAGGTTCGTCTAATACGATTTTATGTTAATAGAACTATCAGAAAACTATTTCACTGTAACTTAACAACAAACTTCAGATAAATAGATTCGTTTAGCAAAAATTAATCAGCTTAAAATGAAAACTTTATACAGTTGAGGCCCGCATCAGAGCGGCTAACCAGAAGTCAGCATCTGTCAAACTCGTTAAAGGAACTGCAGATTTGTGAGCAGGCCGCACGCTAGCCACGCCTTCGAATATATACACACACATATACACACACACAGATGCACACAAGCAGACAGACGAACACATTTAGTTAAATGGAAGCTAACCGCGCTGCCAGCTGACGTTCTACACGCTCCATTTGGACTTTGGCAAACTTTGTTTGCGTTCTGGGCCGCCGCTTGGCATTGCCGGTCGAGCACATGGCGCACGCGAATTGGCCAGGCTGGCAGGCAGGCAGGCAGGGGTAGAGAAAAGTAGCAGAGCAGGAGTGCGAAGAGAGTGAAGAGCTGAGGATGGCGCACGGGGCACTTGGCTAAAGTAGTTGTTGATATCAGCTTTCAGCATGCATATTTCTTGGTTACTTTGCCCATTCGCTTTTCGTGCTATTTAAACACTGAGAATATCGTTGGGGCCATTTGCCTATGCGAATGCAAACAGAATGCCGGAAGCAGTCAGCTAACCAAGTGATATAAGAACCAGGAGGTGCGGCATTGGGCTTAAGCTTCGCAGAACTAAATTACTCATACGCCGCTTGGGACAGTTACAGTTTCAAGTAGCAGGGCAGTAGGGGCCGGCGGATGCGGCCATTTAATACGTGCGTTACTTTTGTAATTGAATATGATAAATCAAACCGAAAAGTTACTCCATGTCGAGTGTGGTCGGAAGTGGTCGAGCTGTGATATGCCCCGCTTGTTGGCCTTGTTTTTGAACTCGCCTTTTTGCTGAGCTTCTCACTCCGCTTGTTGGCCTATCGAGTTACACGCTGTGCAAATGTATTCATTTACTTTTTGATTTGAAGGGCTGAATTGTATTAAATTTGATGCTTAAACCATGTTTTGTTTTAGCACACAATTCAAAATGAAATAAATCTCAATATTTGTGCGTTTGCCAAAATCAAATTACATTAAATTCCAGCTGAGGGCTAAGCCATGTTCACAAAAATAAAAACAAAAATTAAGCAAAAGCAGCTGGCATAATATTATGAGTTATGTCTGAACGTGGGCGTGGTTGGATTTCTAACCTCGTTTAGGGGGCGGCCAGTTCCGCTGACCGTCGAGCCAACATTAAAATTCATGAACACATTTATTGCCAATTACCACAAGGCCTGCGGCACGTTTTATATAGAGAGCAAAACCTGGCTAAAACTCCACACACACACACACACACACACACCCACGTAGCCTTCCCCCTTGCCCCTTCTGCATTTGCAATGTTCTGTCCAATTCTCTGATTTGGCAGCAAATGTTGCGGCCGACTGCTGTTTTTTTTTTTTGCTTTGGCCTTTTTGTTGCCTTTTATTCGATTTTGCGCTTTTCCCAAACGTCTTTTTTTTCGCACACACAAATTGATAAATTAGATTTACGCTCGAGAAATTATATTACAATATAATATATTTTGGGCCTGTAGATTTGTGTTTTGTTATTGTATTTTGCAGCCAAGCACTTTTTCTTTAATAGCCAAGTGATTTTAAAGCGAAACATTTTGTAAATTCGGCCTGCACTTTTATTTATGGCTTCACTGCGTGTTCTGGCTGCATGAGTAGTTGGCTCAGCTAAAAAAAAAAAAAATTGTTCAATTATGCGCAGACATTAAATGGGTTGCAATTTATTATAAAAAAATTGTATGCTGATTGGGCAGGAATTTGTGTGAATTCGAAAAATGTAAGCTCGCAAAATTGAAAAATTTAAGTTAGGCTCTCCAAATTAAATTGCGAAACTGTTGAAAAAAAAATATGATAAAATAAATAATGCAATAAATGTTGTTGAATAAAATGTTCAAAAACATTAAAGACTAAAAGATTAAAGGCATGATATTCTGATCGAAGCAAACGTTTCTTATTTTTTTTTTATTATTTCTTATAAGCCATTGCTCATGAACGCACCAAAGTTTGGGTGTTCAGCTAGAATATAATCAAGGACGGAAACTCTTTTCTATAAAAGTGTCAATAGCTGGCTAAGATAGCTCGAAAAAGGAATATATAATCAATGCGTATAATAAGTTTTCCATCTACAGTTTCCATTTCAGCCTTATAATATTGTGATATGATTCGTACAATCTTAACATATTTCTAGCTTGAACCAAAAATCTGTGTCAAGCTTCAAGCCAAAATATTTGTACATTTTTCTTTTAACATTTTATATATCTTTTTCGGACTTAACTTCAAATCAACTACCAATATCGCCTCACGAGCTGCTTAGCTACTGTCAGTATAGTATTTCTTTGGCATCCTTCAATTGGCTTGCAGCACGCACTTGACGCATGGCCACCAAAGTTGCAGCTTGTTGCAAGCAGTTCAGCAGCTTTGCGGCATTTGCAATTCAATTAAACTAAAGCAAAAGACCGAAGGCGGCAACAGCAACAGCAGCAGCAAGAGATGAAGTAGTGAATGCTGATGATGCTTTTGCTGCGTTTCTTGCCAGATTTTCAGAGGGTGCAGAGGCGGTGCAGGCAGGCGGCGGGCGTGGCTATTGTGAGTGGAAGCACTGGCGTGAAGCGTTAAAAATGCAATCAAAAGACAACAAAGGAAACCTGCGACCGTGACCAGTGCTGCAGGTAGGAAATAAGTGACGGGGCTGGCAACTGACACTGAAACGGGTTGCCCAGCTAAGAAAACCGCGATTAACAACAAAAAGAAAAAACAACAACAACAACAGCAACAATAACGACAATAACATTGAGAGCTCTGACGTGGTCCACGCTGTCGGCATTTCAGTTGAAATTTGATATCTTGCAGCGGGTCTTGGGTTCTGCCAGTGAAATCTGAAA